TTCCACTAAGACTTAATATCTTGACCAGCAAATACCCTGGCACCAGGTTCTGGCTTAGCTTACTCAGGCCCCACACAGTACAATGAAATTCATTTTGCAAGAGGCAGAGATTTTCCCTTGATGGGCTTTGAACAAAGGTCACTTCCTTTCCCATTATTCCTTCCTAATACTTGCCTTTATATTTTCAAAGAAGGGAAAATTCAGTACCACTGTTATTTTATCAATGATATCCTCAACCCAACTCCTGTATATCAAAACAGAAGCTGCCTAGGCAGCGGTAAAGCTGGATTTATTAATGATCTTTAAAGACAAAACTTGTTCCAAAGTATTTTGAATAAATGTGTAGAGAGGTCAAAGTAAATGTAAAGGAATATAGCTTTCACTAACTCATCAGTCAGGGGAATTAAGCACAAATGGCATGATTCTTCATCTTTAAAGTTACTCTTTCTTATAGAGTTTCAGTTGGAATTCAGCACGTTTAAATTCCTGGGTGCATTCCTGTATGAGCATTTCATAAATCTAAACCCCAAAGACAGACAACTCCACCAATTAGTTCTCTGATGCTAGGCCATTCCTCGTCTCTTTAAGCCTCAGTTTCATCAACTGTAATATGGAACTATGATCTCCTGTCCTATTCTCTCATTTTACAGAGACTAGGAGAAACTGTCCTAGTTTTCAAATGTCCTCCAGATCAGAGAAGGGGAAATCACATACAGAAGAGATGCTGTGGCAATAGCTCATGATGTCAAAAGGCTCCAAAGAAAGCCTTAGAAGTAGTCAGCTGTAGGAGTCTAAAATGCTAAGCCCATTTAAAGAGGACCAAAATTCATCTGGGCAAAATTCATTCAAATAGATCTGGGCAGAAGCGTACGTGGGCTTGCTGATCCCAAGCTTGTTTCTCTAGCTCCTTGATCATAACTGGGAAGCCTTGGCATCCAAAAATACCCTGCAGGAAAATGGGGGAGGTGACATTGATCTTGCATTGTTTAAGCATCTGAGATGGAAAAGTACCTCCAAAAAGTATACCAAGAATGTGCCTCCACAGCACTGTTTATAATAGCCAGGACATGGAAGCAACCTAGATGCCCATCAGCAGACGAATGGATAAGGAAAATGTGGTACATATACACCATGGAATATTACTCAGCCATTAAAAAGAATTCATTTGAATCAGTTCCAATGAGACGGATGAAACTGGAGCCCATTATACAGAGTGAAGTAAGCCAGAAAGATAAAGACCATTACAGTATACTAACACATATATATGGAATTTAGAAAGATGGTAACGATAACCCTATATGCAAAACAGAAAAAGAGACTCAGATGTATAGAACAGACTTGTGGACTCTGTGGGAGAAGGCAAGGGTGGGATGTTTCAAGAGAACAGCATCGAAACATGTATATTATCTAGGGTGAAACAGATCACCAGCCCAGGTGGGATGCATGAGACAAGTGCTCAGACCTGGTGCACTGGGAAGACCCAGAGGGATCGGGAGGAGAGGGAGGTGGAGGGGAGGACCGGGATGGGGAATACATGTAAATCCATGGCTAATTCATTTCAATGTATGACAAAAACCACTGCAATGTTGTAAAGTAATTAGCCTCCAACTAATAAAAATAAATGGAAAAAAAAAAAAAGAATGTGCCTCCAAAAATAAGAATAATGTTTCCTATTGACAGACACATTTAAAGAATGATTTTTAATGACAGACCCTCATCATCTTGGCATTCTCCTCCACTTCCAGAAGTGCGGCTGTGTTTGCCGAGGCCGATAGCAAGCTGACAAATGTGAAATGGGAAGGAGGAGGAATCTTCTGAGTAAGCAAGAGTTTGTTTTAGAATCTTTGGACCTTAGCAGTCACATTTTCCATATCGTTGCTTCAGAAGAGCCTACTTGGTAATAGGGTTAGTTACCAGAAAAACATTTAGCTAAGAAAAATAAAATGAAGATGCTGATCAAGAATAGTAGTAGAGGGAGGACCCCTCCCTCTAGCACCCAGGGGTCCAAAAGGGATTCCAGACTAATTCTTGTTAGCACAATGGGGCTTGCACACACTGTACCCATCCCCTCATCCTCAACTCCAAAGTTATTGACTCAGCATCTGGCCTAGAGCCAGAGGTATATTCTGAATTCAGAGCATGCAACAATGTTCAGTACAATTAGGACATAATGGCTGCAAAGCTGTTCCTGAAAGCCAAGAAAGCCTGAATAATGTGGTTGGGTTATATCATACATGAGGGCTTAATAGAGTTTAAAAACCAATTTGAAAATTCCTTCATTCCATAAAGATAGCATTAAGATGAGGGCAAAATCATGCTAGTTCAAGGGTTGGGGATAAAGTGCATAAGGAATTATGCAGACTCCTTTCCATATTATCCTTCTTAACCAAAATGACCCATTCCCTTTGAAGGTATCTCTAATGCTTACTACTGACCCAGAAAGAAGGAAATTTCATTAAAAAATCTTAAGTCTTATTGTACCCAGCTAGTAATGCCATTTTTCCTTGCTATTTAAAAAGCATACGATTTCATTTCCAAAAACAACTGTTTGCAATTCAAATTCCATCCATCCAGGCAATGTCTCCTATTTGTCGCTAATACTCCACCATTTCCAATTCATCTTGCAAAAGAGGTGAAGTTATCCACATGACCACACAAGACCTGAAAGATGTTTCATTCATTTTTAGCCATTTTGTAGTAAATGGCTTTGGAACACTTGAGATATTAAATCCATCACTTTTTTGGACTTGTGACACTAATACCAGAACATTAGGGACTATCCACTCTTGAGGTCCTGCTCTAGTAACCTTCAGATACATGAGATTCCTCAATTCTCTCAGTCCTATTCTGGTTACTTAGGAGCTGACATTGATAGAAAATCTTAATATTTTGGAGCTGGATTCCAGGGGACTTTGGAGATGCCTGTGCTTGATAAAGAAATTTTACCAAAGACTTTCATAATTTTTTTCTCTATATTTTCTCTTTGAACAATGCTTATTTTTCATAAGAGACCAGCACAGAATTTTCAGAACAGAAAGGGATCTCCAAGGTCAACTCTCTTTTTTTCCAAAAAGTCTCCAAAAGCTTTATATCTTAATCCTCAGAGTATACTAAGTAATGGATACCACATTTTGTTTAAGATTTAAGGATGGAGAGAATGAGGAAAAGTCTCAGCTTCAGATGGCAGAGTTCCTTTGCGGTAAGAATGAGGTTCTGATCTCTAAATCTAAGATGATACAGATTAACTTCATTTTTGAACTTGGAGAAACAGAGGTGAATTTAGATCTCTCTCTCTCTTTTTTTTTCAGTCTATGAACTAAGCTGCTTCAGCTGACTGAATTTCTATTAATTTTTCTTTTTCCTGAATTTCTATTAAATAACAGTATCCTTTCTCTTGGCTGACTGGAAGAACTACATGTTTTAAGAAGTAAAGAATTTTAAAAAATCAAATAATTCAGTCTTATGTCCTTACCCCTGACTAAACTAGAAGCCACTTCCCCATTATTTCATGATTGATATGAAAAAGTACAGGAGCAATGAGAGGAAGGTCATCTGTTTCCAGCAGTAACATTCTGGTTTCTGCTGGACTCCCATTGGCAACAGAAGGAAGCAACATAGACCACATGCCTGCCCTATTACAATACAAAAAGCTGACAAGTTTGAAGTCTTTTGAAATGTCAGTTAAGTAGAAAAGATGATGTGGCTTTCCTTCAATATTATTTGGGTAACCTAGCCTTAAAATAATGAACAAAATCCTTTATCCTTAAGGCAGGACCAAACCAAGATATTAGTGGCTTAGATAGGCTAATAATTTAGTATACCTTCAAATGGATACTTTTCAGATATTCACTCAACAGGTGTTTGAGTGAGGAGTTGGACACTGCAGGCCTTGAGAGAGAATGGAGATAGGGCTGGTGGGGTCCTTTACTTTGCATATTCTGTTCAGTATAAGAAAGACCCTGCAACTCACCAGACTAGATCACCTTGGATGGCAGTTTGGTGACCATCTGTAGATTCTCAAATATACCCTTCCTTACTCCAAGCTATTTATTAAGGCATTAACTGTAGCATTTAAAACTGCATTTGGTAGCCCCTTGAAAGATTACTGTTTTACATTCTTTTCTCTACATTGCTGATTCCCACTGATGCTTTCATATTCCTTACAGATCCAGCCTCCCCTTTATACCATGTACTCAGTGTCTGTAATGTGCCAGGCACTGGGCCAGGTACTAGAAATATAAATGTGATTCAGATACTTTCCCTGCCTTTATAGAACTCACACCTTGGGTAGGCGAAAGATTTACAAACAAATAATACAATACCACAGTGATGAAGTCTACAGCAGTAAAATGGTTGTTACTAAATATTGGTAAAATGCTTTGAAATCCTTGGAGATGGATACTTTCTTAAAATAGAAGATATTTTGAGTTTTACTTCTATCTCTGGAAATCTTATCTTGGGTAAGGATTGGAATAAAAAGAGAGTAACGTTTTCATGCCTCCAGTTCCCTGCCACTGTAACTGAGATGGGGAGGTAGGGATGTGGAATAATATCTAGGTGAAACTTAGCCAAAACTTTCCACTTTGCATGTTCTTCCTCAAATAATTTTTTGTCTCTAGAACTTGCCATGATACTAGGGGAAGGATGATGGAAGCTCACCTAGTCCCTGCTACCTGGGTAACTACACATCCCTGGATCCAGATGGTTTCTCCCTTCAAAATAATTGCAAACAAGATTAAAACTGCAAGCAGGAACTATTCCAGCTGGCTTTTGGCTTCCTCTGATGTACACCCCTTGAATAAAGCAGTGGCAAAATTAGATTTAAAATAAGGAACATAAAAAACCTTACTACTTGTACCAGTTCACCTCAAGGTCCTGCTGTGTGCAACCCTGAGCCCTGGCATTAGAGTAACTAAAGGCATCAGCCACCTGGAGTTTGCATGTTATGAAATACAAAAACCTTAATAACAAGAAAAAGAAAACTTATCTTGAAGGCGTACCTCCACACTGCCTCTGAGTATTTAAGAGTCTGCTGGAAACAGGCATCTGGAATAAAATAGAAATACAGTCCAATAAATTCCCAAGTTGGAAAATCCTCATTTCTATTTCCTTACCTGCCATCAATCCATCTAAAGAAAACCACATAGCCACATTTTCCTCTGGTAAAGGAGACAAAAAAAATATTGATCCTCCTTTGGCAGGCAGTTACTACTGACCACAGTAAGCATGAAGAAAAAACTCTGGGGAGTCTGCCTATCTAAAACACCAGGCCCACCAGCTTTAATTCTCACACCAGGACCTGTTCTGGTTCCAGGCAGTTCCTTGGCAGAGCAAGACACAGGTTATTAGGTTAGGACATTTCACACAGAACCATGATTTAGTTCTGCCTTACCCCCAACATTACTATAACCACTCAGTATTTCCAGGGCACATCTCTTTTTCTAAGTGTTTTCAGTTTCAATGTGTATAGCTCCAAATATTGCTAGCATTATAAGCACTTTCATACAGCATTCCTGAGATAATTAGCCACCTCATCTTTTTGCAGTCACAAACTGAAACAGCTCTTTGCTGCTTAACCAAGGCAGTGTGTGGTTAAGGAAACCTACTTATGTTGGGAAATGTGCCAGAGAGTGTGGGGGGCATAACAGATCTTAGAAACAGCTCTTAGCTCTGGGCTACAGGAGCTGAGAATCTTGGGGTTGAGCTGGGTCATACTGTGAATTTCTTTTTTTTTAAAGTGTTCTAAAATACAAAGTACTACATAAAATACTTTCTATGAAGAATAAAGATCAGCCAGGTTTAAAAAAAAAGAAAAATAACTCATTGTTCTTTAACAGGACAACCTTAGAAAGACACTTGCCTATTCATATTAGTAACAATCCAGTAGGGACTTCTGTAACTCTGGACTTATTTAAAAAAAAAAAAAAATGAGTCATATTTGTCAGGGGTGACTGACAAGGCTAAATATTTATTGAGAATTGTATAGGCTTTGATTTATTCTCTCATAGTTCAGCACCCAGAAGGCTGCGTTTGTCCAGCAAAGGAAGAGAGGAGCTCCAGAAAACCCCAGGACTCACAGTGTTCCCCACAGCACTCATGATTAAACCTTTTGGCCCTCAGTTAAAGGTCAACATGGCTGCTCAAAAACGTTTATTTCAAAAGGCAGTCATCTCAGCCAACTGAGATTACATTGCCACTTCACAGAACTCAATTAAATGCGAAACACAGCATCTGTTAATCAGGGAAGAGGCATGAAGTTGTGATGTTTTCTGCTTCCTCTTAAAAAGCTGCCTCTTCCCACCCGTGTTCACTTCCCAAAGCGCCATCGCGCGCACTCACATACACACACGCTTATAATTTGCCCGCGGAGGTTCACGGATTTATGGCTCCCGGTTTAATTAAATTTCCTGTAATGACAATCGAAATCGGCAGCGTGCGGCACAGCGTGGAGCTCCTGTGACCTCCTCTCCCGCCCGCGTACCGGCTCCGGGCTGGGGACCGCGAGCGCCCACCTGCCGGCGCCAGACCGCTGGGACCCACCAGAACCTCAGCCGCCCCTGTCGCCGCTTCCGCCCCGCGCCCGGCACTTCCGCCCCAGCCGCGGGCGCCCTCCGGCTCCCGCACTTCCGCCCCGGCCCTCAGCCGTTAGGGAGTGTGTCAGTGGAGGCCAAACCCGAGCCAATCGCCCCTCTGAACGGTGGCCGCGCCTGGGCTGTTAACGCGTGAAAACAGACGCGAAAACCAAGGCCACACTGTTCTTTTTCTTTGTTTTTTAAGACCACGGAAAAGTGACCTGGCAGGTTTGGGAACCATTTAATAACGAGATGTGAGAGAAAGTGCAGTGAAGGCCGGTTTAACTCCACCTCCCCGCATTCATTCATTTATTGTTTACTGCCCTCTTTCTCTGAGTCCCGGCTGAGCTAGGTTATGGGGAACGGGGATGATGAACAAAATGTTTGACTTGCCTACACAGCCCTTTGGGCACCTGTACCCACCCAAACTTCAGGGCTGTGTAGGCAAGTCAAACATTTGGAAACTGAGCTTTACAAGTCATGTGGCTAACTGTTGTGAAAGGGACCTCTGGAAGAATACGAATGTACTCTAGGTAAAGAAGTAACTTTTAGACTGGAACATACAGGGTCAGGTTGGGCAGGGACTGTGCTCTCCAGGCCTAGGGACTGCTGACACTGAGGGAGCAGGAATGTGGGCAATGCACAGAAGAGGCACTAGCAAGGCTGAAGCCTTGAGGGATGGGGGCAGGGGTCCCGGAGTTGGGGGCGGGTTGGAAACAAGCTGGAAAGGATAGGCCTGAGTAGACCCTGTAGGGCTTTTCAGCTTTGTGCTAAGGGCAGCTGGAGGACTTTTTGTTTTACTGTTTTTTACTGTTTTTGTAGGTTGAATTGATTGCTTTTCCATTATGAAAAGATCACTCACCTTTAGGGAGGGCATGTGAAGGGGATGGGGTAGAGGAGAGCAGAGCTGGAACAGGAAAGGCAGGATGTGATAAATAGTCTAGGAGTGAGGTCTGGTGGCCTGAATGTGTTACTATAGTTGTTGTTCAGTCACTAAGTCATGTTGGACTCTTTGTGACCCCATAGACTGCAGCACGCCAGACTATCCTGTCCTTCACCATCTCCCAGAGCTTACTCAAACTCATGTCCATTGAGTTGATGATATCATCAAACCATCTAGTCCTCTGCCACCTTCTCCTCCTCCTGCTTTAATCTTTCCCATCATCAGGGTCTTTTCCAATGAGTTGGCTCTTCCCATCAGGTGGCCAAAGAATTGGAGCTTCAGCATAGTCCTTGAATGAATATTCAGCGTTGATTTCCTTTAGGATTGACTGGTTTGATCTCCTTGCTGTTCAAGGGACTCTCAAGAGTCTTTTCCAGCACCAAAATTCAAAAGCATCAATTTGTTAGGGGAAGCACACTGATTGAATCCGCCCACCCTGGCCAGGCACCATAGTAACCATTTGCATGAGTTGTTTTATGACAGGAGATCCTGATAAGGAATATGGAAACTAATAAGCCACCACCAATCAGAAGAGTTTGGGAAAGGTCAAAAGGAGACACCACGTGTCCGTCCACTTCCCAGAATCCCTCTCACTAGCATCCGTCTTGGCTGAGAGATGCGTGCACCACCAGGAAAGACTCTGAATTAGAATGATTGGCCAAAGACCACCCGGAAACTAATCCCATCACCATAAAACCCAAGACTGCGAGCCATGAGGCAGAGCAGTTCTGGGTTCCCTTACCTACTGCTCTCCACCCGGGTGCCCTTTCCAATAAAATCTCTTGCTTTGTCAGCATGTGTGTCTCCTCAGACAATTCATTTCCGAGTGTTAGACAAGCGCCCAGTTTTGGGCCCTGGAAGGGGTCCCCCTCCCTGCAACAAATTCTTCTGTGCCAACCTTCTTTATGATCCAACTCTCACATCCATACATGACTACTGGAAAAAAACGTAGCTTTGACTATGTGGACTTTTGTTGGCAAAGTGATGTCTCCACTTTTTAATATGCTGTCTAGATCTGTCATAGATTTTCTTCCAAGGAGCAAGCATCTTTTAATTTCATGGCTGCAGTCACCATCCATAGTGATTTTGGAACTCAAGAAAATAAAATCTGTCACTGTTTCCATTTTTCCCCCCATATATTTGCCATGAAGTGGTAGGACTGGAGGCTATGATTCTCATTTTTTGAATTGTTGAGTTTTAAGCCAGATTTTTCACTCTCTTCTTTCACCTTCATCAGGAGGTTCTTTAGTTTCTCTTCACTTTCTGTTATTTGGCTGGTATCTGCTTGCGTATCTGAGGTTGTTGATATTTCCCCCGGCAATCTTGATTCCAGCTTGTGCCTCATCCAGCCCAGCGTTTTGTGTCCGACTCTTTGCATCTCCGTGGACTGCAGCCTGCAAGACTCTTCTGTCCATGGAATTCTCCAGGCAGGAATACTGAAGTGGGTTTTCATTTCCTTCTCCAAGTCTGCAAATAAATTAAATAAGCAGGTTGACAATATACAGTCTTGGCGTACTCCTTTCCCAATTTTCAACCAGACAGACCATTGTTTCATGTCCGGTTCTAACTGCTGCTTCTTGACCTGCATACAGGTTTCACAGGAGGCAGGTAAGGTGGTCTGGTATTCCCATCTCTTTAAGAGTTTTCCACAGTTTGTTGTGGTCCACATAGTCACAGGCTTTAGCATAGTCAATGAAGAAGAAGTAGATGTTTTTCTGGAATTCCTTTGTTTTTTCTATGATTCAACGGATGTTGGCAATTTGATCTCTGGTTCCACTGCCTTCTCTAAATCCAGCTTGTACATCTGCAAGTTTTTGGTTCACATATTTTTGAAGCCTTGCTTGAAGGATTTTGAGCATTACCTTGCTAGCATGTAAAATGACTACAGTTGTGTGGTAGTTTTAACATTCTTTGGCATTGCTATTCTTTGGGATTGGAATGAAAACTGACTTTTTTTCAGTCCTGTGGCCACTGCTGAGTTTTCCAAATTTGCTGTCATATTGAGTGCAGCACTTCCACAGCATCATCTTTTAGGATTTGAAATAACTTAGCTGGAATTCCATCACCTCCACTAACTATAGTAATACTTCCTAAGACCTGCTTGACTTCACACTCCAGGATGTCTGGCTCTAGGTGAGTGATCACACCATGGTAGTTATCTGGGTCATTAAGACCTATTTTGTACAGTTTTTCTGTGTATTCTTGCCACCTCGTCTTAATATCTTCTGCTAGGTCCCTACCGTTTCTGTTCTTTATTGTGCCTGTCTTTGCATGAAATTTTCCCTTGGTATTTCTCATTTTCTTGAAGAGATCTGTAGTATTCTTTCCCCTTCTATTATTTTCTTCTATTTCTTTGCATTGTTTACTTAAGCAGGCTTTCTTATCTCTCCTTGTTATTCTCTGAAACTCTGCATTCAGTTGGGTATATTTTTCCTTTTCTTCTTTGCCTTTCACTTCTCTTCTTTTCTCAGCTATTTGTAAGGCCATTTTGCCTCAGACAACCATTTTGTCTTCTCGTATTTCTTTTCTTTGGTATGGTTTTAATCACTGCCTCCTGTACAGTGTTATGAACCTTCATCCATAGTTCTTCAGGCACTCTTTCAGATCTAACCCCTTGAATCTATTTACCACTTCCACTGAATAATCATAAATGATTTGATGTAGGTCATACCTGAATGGCCTAGTGGTTTTCTGCACTTCAGTTTAAATCTGAATTTTGCAATAAGGAGCTCATGATCTGAGCCACAGTCAGTTCCACGTCTTGTTTTTGCTGAGTGTATCGAGCTTCTCCATCTTTGGCTGCAAAGAATATAATCAATCTGATTTTGGTATTGACCATCTGGTGATGTCCATGAATAGAGTCGTCTCTTGTGTTGTTGGAAGAGGGTGTTTGTTATGACCAGTGCATTCTCTTGGCAAAACCCTGCTAGCCTTTGCCCTGCTTCATTTTGTATTTCCAAGGCCAAACTTGCCTGTTACTTCAGGTATCTCTTGACTTCCTACTTTTGCATTTCAATCCTCTATGATGAAAAGGACATCTTTTTTTTTGGTGTTAGTTCTAGAAGCTGTTACTGTAAATAGTGATCAAATGGTGGATAATAATAATTTTTAAAGCTAACACTTGTTGATTTGTTCACCACAGCTTTACACTTATAACTTGATTGATCCTGAGAACAATCCATTAAGACTACCTATGATTATTTTTGAGTTGATACACTTTGATAAGACCCAGGCTTTCTGAAGAAAATGAAAAAGAAGTCAGTCGACAAAGTATACTTCACCTAACAGTTGCTGATATATTATCTTTAAAGAAGTTATCCTGGGTCTAGTTATAAACACCTTGGTGGAATCTGTGTAACTCACATTTTGTGGTGTAGTAGGAAAACTTCCTAGAAATGCAACTCCAAATCAGCTTCCAAATCTCATTTCTTGGAGAATGGAAATATAATTGGATTCGTGAAACCTGATTTCATCTGCTGAATGAGAAGAATGACTCCACCAAAGGCCAACAGTGAAGGCTTTTAGTATTGGTTAAAGGTAAATATCTCCATGGAGCCCAAAATTCACAAATTCTGAAGCAGAATTTAATAACTAAGAATTTCTTGGGTCATTCAGGTGATGGTATGAGACCTCCTCATGATGTTTTTAGTTGAGAGTGGAAGTCCCATGGATGGTTGGGCATCCCTGTTGACTTGCTGTAATTGATGCCCAGTCACTCCAGGAGGGCTTGGCTGAGTGCTAGGAGCTCAGAGGACCAGTTTACCTCTAGGAGTAGGACTCACAGTGCTGGGCATATGAGGTAAGCTGGAGAAAATGTCTGAAGTCTCACCAGGAAGAATTGTCTCCAAAATAAAAAACATCTGCCAAGGCAAAATTAATAAACATTTATTAATGATTACAAACTGCAGTATTGTATCATGTTCATTGATTGCTGGATTCAGTGTTCATAACAATTTCTTTATATTTGAAAACAGTTTTTAGATGAGATGCTCTTCCTGAGTGAGTGTTGAGAAATTACAGCATATTTTAGTTACTTTAGCTAAATAATTTCAAAAGTAAAATTATAAAACCTTATAGTGAAATTATGAAGTGTAGGATGTATACAGATTTTAACATGGTTCATGTGATGTGAAAGGAAGAGTCTTAAGAGAATCTGAAGGTCTTAGTGCAGCCATGGGTCTTAAGCAACTCTGTTCACTCAAAACTGGCTTGTCATGGGGATTTTTGTTTTTTTTTTCCAGTTTTGGCTGTGCTGGGTCTTCATTGTGGTGGGCAAGCTTTGTTGCCTCATGGCATGTGGGATCTTAGTTCCCCAACCAGGGATCAAACCTATATCTTCTGCATTGGAAGGCAGATTTTTAACCGCTGGACCACCAGGGAAGTCCTGTCATAGGCATTTGATCTTGTCATCTGGGTCTGGACTGCAGTTCCAAGCTATGCTCTTGGAATCTGGATAGAAGTGGTGCAAGGATCTCTGTGTTCTGGAATGTCCGGTCAGAACTCACTTGGGTTGAATTGTCTGTTCCGTCTCAAGACCCTGCCAGCTCTGTGATCAGTTCTGAGACAGAAGCCTGCTCTAGAGAAAGCCTGCTGGTATAGCTTGGTGCACAGCTCCTCAACTCCAAGGATGCTTTAGAAAACACATTGCCTGTTCTTCCAGAGATGGCCTGGAGCCAGGCTTCCTTTTAAGGCCTCCTAAGGGCTGGATGTATGGTGAAGAGTGAAGCATCTTCCCTCCATATGCCAGGCTTTGCCTCTGGGAGAGAAGGAGCAAAGAAATGGCTTTTAATGTTAGTGCCTTCCCTGGAGAACACCTTAGAAAAATAACCTAAGTCCTGACAGTTAGTGACTATCATGCCAACTCTATTTTACAGTAACCCGGCTCTGCGCTGTCACTGAAGAAAGATGTAGTTTGAACTTTGACTAGGAGGGACAGCCCTAATAACTGCCCCAACTAGCGATGTGATCATGATGGTAGAGGTGTTTAGAAACCTGGTCTTTTTCTGGCCATTATAGTGAGCTGATTTGTTTATCTCTTGAGTG